AAACTTTTTTGTGGGGTGCTTGGCTGGCTCAGTCAGAAGAGCATGTGACTCTTTTTTTTTTTTTTTTTTTTAAGGATGATATTTATTTGAAACAGAGAGCATGAGAGGGAGGAGGGGCAGAGGGAGAAGCAGACTCCCTGCCGAGCAGGGAGCCCGATGCGGGACTCGATCCCGGGACTCCAGGATCGTGACCTGAGCCGAAGGCAGTCGCTTAACCAACTGAGCCACCCAGGCGCCCCGAGCATGTGACTCTTGATCTCGAGGTCATGAGTTGGAGCCCCACACTGGGTATAGAGATTACTAAATAAATAAACATTAAAAAAAAGAGAAAAGAAACTTGTTCGTAGGAGGTGAGGTGATGGTCCAAGGGTGCAAAGTGAGTCAGGTATTTGTTCTTTTCCACTGTATCACGGACTGTTCTGTCCCCGACCTTTGGGGCTGCTATAATGCTCCATGGTGCCAACACAGACCACAAGCTCTGTGGGAAATGGCCTCAGACAGGGAGGATTGAGACGCTACCCACCGCCCCTCAGTCATAATACATCTTGCATGTCAGCTATTCTCTTAGGTATGGAATTATTGGAACAGACACCCACCCAAGCTGACTCCAACATAAAGGAGGACTCTCACAGAACCCAAATGCACAAAGTCATCCTGGGAACTAGATGGTTGGAACTAGACAAGCACTTTGTCTTTTGTGCTGGACCACAAGTCTTTTCTCTCTGCTTTTCTAATCTGATCCCTTTTCATAAAACCTTAACCATTTTTTAACAAGGCCCAACGTGACTGCCAACCCTGAGTTGGCCTGGCTCACAACTCCAGGGCCCACCACCACAAAAGCAGAGTTAGAGCCTTGGGAGCACTTGGCTGGCTCAGCCCAGGCAATGGTTTGTTCTCTCAGTTTGGTCTTCCAGTCCTGGCTCATCACCTGGAACATGGGCAAAGGGGTTGGGTGAGCTGGTAGTGGGTAGCAGAGGTAGTAGGTAGAGGAAATCCTAGGAAGGATGTAGGTAGGGAGCCAATTACAAGTGGAGGGAACAACAGTGAAAGATGTTGAAATTGAGTGGGCATCCTGAGTAACCAACGCACCTAGGTTCTCTCTGCCTTCTGTTGTCTTTGACTAGACAGCTCTCAACTCTAAAGATGGAAGTTAAGTTGTAGAAGCTTGATAGGAATGCAAGCAATTCCTGTTCACAGAAATACAGACTGCCTGGTGGAGCACAACTGACTATTGTCTTGTGGGTATTGACCAGTTTCACATCCATTTCTAAAATCTCTTCAGCATTCCTTATCTGAATATCTATGGGTGATACTTTGAGTTCTCCTTTGAATTGGTTGTAATATTTTAGTGCTTCTCTCATTAATTGATGGATTAAAATAAATCTTTGACACATATTAATTTTATATCTGAGGAGAGGCATGATTGCATCCTCTTTTAAAATGTATCATGGGGCACCTGGGTGGTTCAGAGGTTCTGAGTTTCAGCCCCATGTTAATAGAATTTCAGTGGAAGTTGTCCAGGCAAAGGTTTAAGGGTCATTTATTTCTTTTTCTGTACTTTTCTTTATATTTTTTAAAAAGATTATTTTATTTATTTGAGAGAGAGAGAGAGATTGAGCACAAGTAGGAGGAGGGGCAGAGGGAGAGGGAGAGGGAGAGCTGAGCAGGGAGCCTGGACGCAGGACTCAATCCCAGGACCCCGAGATCATGACCTGAGCCGAAGTCAGACACCTAACCGACTAAGCCACCTAGGCACCCCTCTGTACTTTTCTTTATATAAAAAAAAAATAGCATTTACTGTATAATTATTTGTGAGGCTGTACATATGGTTGTTTGCACTTTTCTGACAATAAAAAACTTTTACAAACCTATTATATGTTAAATTTTAAAGCAAAAACCAAACTAAATAGGGTAAAACTACATCTTGGCATATTGCTACAAGCCAGCCATGAGTAGGCAGAGGTGGTTATGACATGCTGTCTGCCCTCAGGGAAGAGGATGAGGTTCAAGCTCCACCCATAGGCCAAAGGGTTCCAGACAATACCCACAGCCAACTTGTGTCAGGAGCTGCCCAGGTGAGGGGACTTCCTCACTGTTCTACACCTGCCACATCTCCTCCCTCCAGCCCCTTGGCAGCCCAACCTGGCGAACGTTGATGGAAGCTCACGCCAGAATGGGATTTCTTCCTCCTGCCTTTCCTCCCCTAACAGTCTGAGAGGTATCCTGCCCTCCGTAGCTTGCAGCTGAAAGGGAGAATCACTGCCAAGCTTCTGCTTGCACAACAATGCATTTCTGAGAAGGGGACACAAAATTTCTGTCAACTGAATCCTGTTTTCCTCCTGACTTACACGATGGTCCAGATATGCTTTGGCTTCCAATGCCGTGGGTGGCTCACCCATTGTCAATGGTCCCAACACTTCATATTTTTCTCTCTTCATGAAACCAACCTATAAGCTGGGATTGATTTAAGTACAACCTCTTGTAAAAGTAAAACCTTCCTTCTAGGAGGAATACTTCTATCAACCAAACTTGGACACTTGTCTCTGCTGTTTTCTAAGTGTGTATGTACAGTAGGGGAGACAATACCCACAGACAGCGGGACCATCTCTCAGCCCCAGGAGGCTCCCCTGACCTTTGGCATAAGTGTCTGTAATCCCTTGCATTTACCACATCTGCACGCAAGTGCCTCCTTAATGATCTCTGGCCTAGAAGGATCAAGGACAAAGGAAGGCATGAGCCTTGTGCCTCCCCTTGCTTGCTGCACACTCAACAGACAAATGCTGGCCTTTCCCACACTTCCCCACTAAGCATGAAGTCGCAGCCACTCCTGAATCCAGGGGCCAATGCTCCAGGTGTTCAGAAACCTTCCCAAGGAGCATACCACTGTTGTAGAGAGGAAGAGTCTTACTCTTACTGCCACTACTTGGGGATGTTCGAGCTCAGACTCCCAATGCTGTCTGACTACATCACTTTCTCCCTTAAGTCCTTCAGTGGCTCCCTACTGCTTGTGTGATCAAGTCCAAGCTCCATGGCCTGGCCTTCAAGTCCCTTGCTTCCCAGTCTGGCCCCAGCTATATCTCTGGCACCATCTCCCTACACTGTGTACCTTACTGTCTAACCCCTCATTCACCCCATGCATGCTAGAGTCCAACTTACATATAAGTCTAAAGGTGGTTTCCAAGCTCTCCTAGCTGCTCAAAATGCCTCATTTCAGTGGCAGTCTCTCTCTTATTAATTGATGTCATCAGAATGGCATTACTGTAGCTGCAGACCAAAGCACGTCAGTGCCAGTTCTGATGCAGGGCCTTACTCTGGTGTTCACACCACCTCCATGGCTGCACCTGGGTGAACATCACACAGACCACTTTCCAGAACGGCTCTCTCCACAGGAGCAGCTGCAGATTCCTCCCACCTCCTAAAAGCTCACTGCTGTGGAGCCGAGGCAGTTGCATTAGGACACATCACAGCATCTCGCTGCCAAAGTGACAGCTACAATTATGTTTTGGCCGACAGCTGGAGATGAGAAAATGTACAAACAGCCAAAGCCACATGAGCCTTCATGAATCAGCAGTTTGTAATGCGTGTGCAGCTGGTAGGTGAGGTGGGTAACCTGCTGGCTACAGACCTCAGGTTAGTGCCTGGAACCTCAGGTGAGGTCCTCCCCTTGCACGGTGATAGTTAGTGCCCCCAAGGGCCACCCCAGGACCCAGAAGGGCAGGAGTAGGGTGCTCAGGCCCAGGCATGGTCCAACCCCGAGGGACAGGCACCTCATTCCCAGGCAAGGGTGGGGGACAGGCAATGCAAAGGGCCAAACTAGCCAGGGGTGAAGTCCATCTCTCTGAGCAGCCTGATGAGGGGTGTATTCATAATGAGCAGAGGGTCCCTGTTGAGACCCCAGGGCACCACCTCCATAAGGAGCCTCAGTGCCATAGGAGTGGTGTCAGGATAGGGGCCAAGACACCATAACAAAAACCAGCATGGTGGTGGCGGCAGCTTCCACTTGTGGAGCCCTTCCACATGCCGGGCACTGTGCCGACCCCTTTATGTAGGTCTCTTCTTTTCATCTTCCTCACCATCCAGTGAGGTAAGTCCTGTTATTATCCCCATCTTCCCAGTGAGGAAACTGAGTCTCAGAGGAATTTGATGCAGGCCAAGTAGCCGGCAATTATGGAGATAGGATTTCAGCTCAGACAATCTGGCTCCAGAACCTGGCTGGTTTATGCCTCATTATCCTGGTTGGGTCCTTTCACTCCAGTCTTGGTTGCAGGAAGCTAAGAGACCCCCCCAGTGCATTCCTGGCATAGGGTGAGTTGAGTTGGGGCCTCCAAGTAGACTTTGGCCTGAAAGCCAAGACGTTACCAAAGGAAAATGAACAACAGCTATTTTAGGTGACAGGTGCTGGGCTGTGGAATTGGGGTAAAAAATTAAAAAGCTACCAGGATTTCCTCATTGTACATTTTTGCATGTCCAGCAGAATAAGCATCATCAGGAAGCTGCTCCATGACCACTGTTGCCCCTGGAGACAGAGGGCAGGAGCAGGAACTGTTCTTTCTCTCTGACCCACACACCCTCTGGGGCCCAGAACCACAGGCGGTCTCCAGGCCCAGGGCTTGGCTCTTACTCAGCCTGACCTGGGTTCCGGCCAAGGCCTCTGGGAGGGGCAGGCTCAGGCTCTTGGGTGTCCTCGGAGGAGTGTTACTGCCCTTCTCAGGCCCCTGGTTGGAGCAGAACCTGCCTACCCTCACTTTCTGTCCAAATGCATGCCGACAGGGAGGCCGTAGGCTGGCAACTCTGTTCAACAAGCTTCCTAAGGGGGCGTCTGAAAGGCGGGCGGGGCTAGGGCACAGGAATGTTTGTATTTCAAGCAGCTGCTGCCCATGAATCGCCAATTGCATTTTGTGCTCTCAGCTCTGTGAAGGCATCATTCCCAGCAGCCTCACACACCGAGCTGGCGGCCAGAGCCTCTTAGTGCAGCTATAAATAGCAGATCATCAACTCACCTCTTCTGAGCTCAGCACAGGCTTCTCGGTTCACTGTGCGTCTTCCTGCTGCCTGCATGTCAATGTCACTCAGATTTCCCAGGTATGCTCTGGGGGGCTGCATGGTTTGGGCTCCCAGAGCTGTTCAGGGTGGCAGGGAGGGCAATGGCAGACTTTTGAAGAGCTTGACATTTCAGGCGTCATAATTATTCTCGACCGTCTCTGAGCACGTCTCCAATTAAATGCAGCACCAAGGGACTGTCATTTCTTGAGGAGTCCTAGAGATAAAAGGCAAAGGACTCACCAAAAACACACCCAGAGAATGCCACCCGCAGTAGGTAGCACCAAACGAAAGGTTTCATGCCCTCCTGCAGACTTGTCCCCTGATACTGAATGAAATACTTGATAGCTCTCCAGCTGCAGGAGTGAGAGACACTGAATGAAAGACTTTACGACTCCCTGGCTGGAGAAGTGAGCTCACATGTTGTAGTATTACTCCCAGCCTCCGTTTACAGCGTGCTCCCTGTGTGCCAGCCTCTGAGCCCAGCCTTTGCAGGCAGCGGACCAAATCAGCCCAACAGCCAGACGGCTAGCATCACTGGCTTTCTGCAGGCGAGCAGGCTGTGGCTCCCGCAGCCAAGCGAACAGGGCTGCTGGCTTCCAGGGCTGATCTCTGAACCGCCACACTTTCTGATTCCGGCAGAAGAGGACCGTTGGGGTGTCCACATGTACCCATGCATGTGCCCACACACTCAGGTGACCGGTGGGATGTGAACTATAGTCTCCTTTCTCCAACTCCACGCACTCCATGACCAGACACTCAAGTCCCAGGCTCCTCTGGCACTTGCACGTCCACTGGCACCACCTTCTTCCAAATCTGATCTTCTTCTAGCTCTCCTCTAGGGAAGGCACCTCCCTTGGCTCTCCAAGCCCAGTTTGATGGTCTTCCTCATCCCTCCCTCCCCTGAGGCCCTGAAACAGGCAGGGGTCGGGGGGACCTTCTCTTCCTCCCCCTTCCCCTACCCCTCCTTCCAATCTGTTTCCTCCTCTGCCTCCCCACTTTGAGGCCTAGTCCCCTTTATTGGTTTGTCACAATAGCTCAGTGCTACACGCGGGGAATGTTTGTTTTTGTTTTTGTTTTAAAGATTTTGTTTATTTTTCAACAGAGAGAGAGAGAGACAGCGAGAGAGGGAACACAAGCAGGGGGAGTGGGAAAGGGAGAAGCAGGCTTCCCGCTGAGCAGGAAGCCTGATGTGGGACTCGATCCCAGGACCCTGGGATCATGACCTGAGCTGAAGGCAGACGCTTAACGACTGAGCCACCCAGGCGCCCACACAGGGAATGTTTTAAGAACACAGATTCTTCATTCCCTCCCTCCCTGGGTTCAGACCCCCTGAAACCAAATCTCTCAGGGTACAGGCCAGGATCTGGATTTTTGTAAAAAGCTCTTCCAGTGATCTGTGCAGGCAGGGTTAAGAACCACTTTGTCTAACTGGCCGCCTAGACTCCAGCCTCTTTCCTATTCTGAACCCTCCCAACGTCAGCTCTCAGTTTAATTTTCTTTTTTTTTTTTTTAAAGATTTTATTTATTTGACAGAGAGAGACACAGCAAGAGAGGGAACACAAGCAGGGGGAGGGGGAGAGGGAGAAGCAGGCTTCCCGCAGAGCAGGGAGCCCGATGCGGGGCTCGATCCCAGGACCTTGGGATCATGACCTGAGCCGATGAAGGCAGACGCTTAACGACTGAGCCACCCAGGTGCCCCTAATTTTCTTAAAGCATAGTTTATCTCCTGTCACTCTCTTGCTAAAGATCCTTGAGTAGCTTGCCCTGCCTGCAGGAAAGCACAAAGTCCTTAGTGTGGCGTTCAAGGCCCTCTCTATCCTGGTCCATTCATTTTCCTGGTAACCCCATGCTCCAGCTACAGAGCTACCTCTCCGTGGGATGGCCTCCTCCTGGCCCTGCTCTCTCCTTTGCTTATCTGGACTTTAAGTGTCAGCTGGCCACAGCAGAACACACTGAAACAAAAGTGATCCCTTCCTTAAGACTTTGAGCCCTCCAATAAAAGGAATGAGGAATTATTGCTAAAATGCCCCTCTTAATTCAAGAGCCACGTGTGCAGCTTTAACTGAAGAGAATTTTGTGTGGCCTGCAGATGAAAGGAGATCCGCCAGCAGAGACAACACAATAGCAGTAATGTGTAAACACAGGAGAGCAGGAGTGGTGGGGCTCGTGATTAATTCCAAGGAGATGGTATTTCAGCATTCTCCTTGCTTTTAACTCAACCCGGGAGACAGAGCAGGTCTGGTAAGCACTGGAGCCAGGGCCATGTTTCAAAATGCCACTCATGTTTTTTTGTCCCCCAGTCCTAGACAAAAGCAGAGGGCCACATTTGGATCTTGTTCAAAAGGTCAAGAGTGTTTTATTAATACAATTAAACAGTGTGTGAGTTTGGACTTTGAAATCCTTTTCCCATAAAGAAACACCTACCACCAAATAAAATACAAAGTGATTGTGTTGACTGAAAGCGGGCATTATTTCAGAACGGGGTCTGGAAATTGTTCCCCTCAAGGACTTCAGAGTAAAAATGAACCCGAAAGAACTTCTGGGTAAATGTGGCAGAAGAGCCTCTCATGAATCTCCATCTGCTCCCTCCCAAAACTCTACTAAAAACAACTATAAAGGAGTAAAAAGAGTTAGAAATCTACAAGGTCTATGAGAACAGGAGAGGAGATGGCAGCAGACAAAGGATGGAGCACATTTCTGGAAGGTGGGAAGCAGAGGAAGGAGTGGTGAGTCACACGGCAGCATGGGGGAAGCTGAAGGCCTGATTCCTGCACAGGGGCTCTGGGGGACAGCCAGTGCAGAGCTGCAGGTGGGAGGGCTGGTGGAGGCCATGGGAAAGCCCAGTCCCAGGGGGGCAGTGGGGTCCCACACCTTGCCCACTCCTGTAGGTCACCTGAGGTGCTCACTGGGGAGGGTGGGCATAAAGTGCAGAAAATATAGAGAACAGACAGAAATCTACATGCTGAAAGGTAAAATTTCAGCCCCTTTTCCTAACCCAGCTTTCAGAAAACCTGCGGGTTCAGGCACAATCCTTACCCCCAGGATGGAGACTACACAACACTTTTCTATAGAAGCTGAGCAAACTCAAGGGAAAGACCCACAGATACAGACATGATATGGATACAGACCCTCAATGGAAGAGCAAGCTCATGACCAACTCCCCTCTACAGGGAAGTCCACTGTTTGACAAGTTCCACCCAAGCATGCTGACCAGTGAATCATTGCTTCAAAGCATAATTCTTAGATATTATCAGACAGCCATGATCCCCAGACATTTAAGGAAAGCATTAGACATGAGAAACAGGTATGTGGGGAGGGGAAGGAGAGGAAGACTGTCTAGGTTCAAGGAGAAGAAAGCTTTAAAAATGCTATACAATCCTCAGGGAGAGAAAATAAGATTTCTATTTCAAGATTCATTATCCATGAAATGTCAGAACACCAGGGATAAAGTAAAGAACCTAGGGCGCCTGGGTGGCTCAGTCATTGGGCATCTGCCTTCAGCTCAGGTCATGGTCTCAGGGTCCTGGGATCGAGCCCCACATCGGGCTCCCTGCTCAGAGGGAAGGCTGCTTTTCCCTCTCCCACTCCCCCCTGCTTGTGTTCCCTCTCTCACTGTGTCTCTCTCTGTCAAATAAATAAATAAAATCTTAAAAAAAGAAAGAAAAGACCCTAAAAGGACCCAGAGAGGAAAAACAGGTCCATTGAGAGGATCAGGGATCAGAATGGCACCAGACTTCTCAACAGCAACACTGGAAGCTGGGAGATAATGGAGTGAGGCCTTTAGAACTCTAAGAGAATTATTTATAGCTTAGAAATCTAAATCCAAACCATTAGTTAAGAGAAATGGTAGAATAAGAGATGTTTTCAGACACAAAGGATCACAAATAATGGGCCTCTCACGCTCCCTTTCTCAGGAACCTCTCCACCCAAACAAAAGAATAATTCAAGGATGAGGGGTGCCTGGGTGGTTCAGTCAGTTGAGCATCCAACTCTTGGTTTGGGCTCAGGTCATGATCTCAGGGTCCTGGGGTCAAGCCCTGCTTCAGGATCTGTGCTCAGCAGGGAGTCTGCTTATCTTTCTCCCTCTGCTCCTCCCTCCTCTTTCTCTAAAAAAAAAAAAAAGTCTTAAAAAAAAAGAAGAATCTAAAAATGAGGATGACATGTCCAGGAGAGAGCAAAGGGGTGCCCAGGATGATGCTGAAGGAGAGCCTTGATGACAGTGGGGTGGAAGGCCCAGGGGCAAGAGCTCCCCTCTGAGCCAGAAGATAGAGAACTTCAGGTGAGAAATAGTCAGATTACCTGACAGGTATGCCCAGGTAGAAAATTATGTCGAGGGGCTATTAGACAGTTGTAAGAATTAGTAATAAGTCCATTAAAAAACTGAGTTAATGAAAAACATGAAGCAATTACTACCTACAAAAAAAAAAAAAAGCCCATGACAGATAAACTGTAAATAAATGCAACACCATGAAAATTTACATAGCCAAAGTAACATAAACACACATTATTGATTTAGCCAAAGATTGTAATAAACAGTGTTGGGAAGCTGGAGGAAAGAGAAGGAGGATGCAGATGTCAATGGATAAAAGTAAATCCTCAGGCGCCTGGGTGGCTCAGTTGGTTAAGCGATTGCCTTCAGCTCAGGCCATGATCCCAGGGTCCTGGGATGGAGCCCGCATCGGGCTCTCCGCTCAGCGGGAAGCCCGCTTCTCCCTCTCCCACTTGTGTTCCCTCTCTCACTGTCTCTCTCTCTCTCTGTGTCTGTCAATTAAATAAAGAAAGAAAATCTTAAAAAAAAAAAAATCAATAAAAAATAAAAGTAAATCCTCATCTCCCATAATTGCAAGAAAACAGAAGTCTAAAATTGACAAATCAACAAAATAGCACTATAAGTGTATTATCTAGAGAAATGGAGGAGGTTAAAACTGGGAGAAACAGCTGAAATAGTTTATTTAACTGGGTACCTTTGGGTTATCAGGCTGGGGTTGGGTTGAGTGGGACAGGGGACTGCTATTTTTCACCCTATGCCTTGAGTACTATTTGAATTTTTGCATGTATACATTATTGTCATAAAAATAAAAAACAATTTTTAAAAGAAAAATCTAAAGAAAATATTATAAATTGACAAAAACGTGTTAGATATTCATTAATTACATCTGTGATTTCTTTCTGTCTTGTTGATCATTCTCTTCATCCATGCACTCATTCATTTTT